ATCCCAGCCAGGGCTTTGTCAAGCCTGACCTTAAAAACCTCTAAGGAAGGAGATTCCACCACCTCCCTAGGTAACGCATTCCAGTGTTTCACCACCCTCTTAGTGAAAAAGTTTTCCCTAATATCCAATCTAAACCTCCCCCACTGCAACTTGAGACCATTACTCCTCGTTCTGTCATCTGCTACCATTGAGAACAGTCTAGAGCCATCCTCTTTGGAACCCCCTTTCAGGTAGTTGAAAGCAGCTATCAAATCCCCCCTCATTCTTCTCTTCTGCAGGCTAAACAATCCCAGCTCCCTCAGCCTCTCCTCATAAGTCATGTGTTCCAGACCCCTAATCATTTTTGTTGCCCTTCGCTGGACTCTCTCCAATTTATCCACATCCTTCTTGTAGTGTGGGGCCCAAAACTGGACACAGTACTCCAGATGAGGCCTCACCAATGTCGAATAGAGGGGAACGATCACGTCCCTCGATCTGCTCGCTATGCCCCTACTTATACATCCCAAAATGCCATTGGCCTTCTTGGCAACAAGGGCACACTGCTGACTCATATCCAGCTTCTCGTCCACTGTCACCCCTAGGTCCTATAGAATCACAGAATCTTTCCGCAGAACTGCTGCCTAGCCATTCGGTCCCTAGTCTGTAGCGGTGCATTGGATTCTTCCATCCTAAGTGCAGGACCCTGCACTTATCCTTATTGAACCTCATCAGATTTCTTTTGGCCCAATCCTCCAATTTGTCTAGGTCCTTCTGTATCCTATCCCTCCCCTCCAGCGTATCTACCACTCCTCCCAGTTTAGTATCATCCGCAAATTTGCTGAGAGTGCAATCCACACCATCCTCCAGATCATTTATGAAGATATTGAACAAAACCGGCCCCAGGACCGACCCTTGGGGCACTCCACTTGATACCGGCTGCCAACTAGACATGGAGCCATTGATCACTACCCGTTGAGCCCGACAATCTAGCCAGCTTTCTACCCACCTTATAGTGCATTCATCCAGCCCATACTTCCTTAACTTGCTGACAAGAATACTGTGGGAGACCGTGTCAAAAGCTTTGCTAAAGTCAAGAAACAATACATCCACTGCTTTCCCTTCATCCACAGAACCAGTAATCTCATCATAAAAGGCAATTAGATTAGTCAGGCATGACCTTCCCTTGGTGAATCCATGCTGGCTGTTCCTGATCACTTTCCTCTCATTCTGTCTTGTGTGCCTGAGACTGTCAACACGGGGGCCGATCAGTGTCAGTTGGGATGTTCTAGGAGGTGTTTAGTTGCTAGAGAAGGGGACTGGGGGACAGGGCTCCAGGGTGTCACTCCCAGGTCTGGTACTGGCTCTTGGTGACCTTTACCGAATCACTTCTCTCTGTGCCTTACTTTCTCTATCTGTAAAACAGGGGATAGTTTTTTGTCTAACTATCTGACTTACATGGCCCCTGTCAGTTTAGTGTCTGATCACCTCCCCGTCTTTAATGCATTTATCCTCTCAACTCCTCTGTGAGGTAGGACATGCTAATGTCCCCCTTGTACTGGCACAGAGAGACTGGGTGACTCACCCAAGGTCCCACATGAAGTCTGTGGAAGAGCAAGGGCTTGGTCTCCCAGGTAGGCACTCTAACCACTGGCTCATCCTTCCTCTCTTAGTAATAGCGACCTTGAGATGTGTTGTGAGGGTCAATTGTTGTCTGTAAAGCACAGTATCGGGGCAACTCTTTCCTAGGTTTCTTGCCACATGGATGCTTCTTCACTAGATCTCATCAGATTGTAACATTTGGCTACCACTGATAGGGAACAGATTGGGACGGGTGACCTAGAAGACAGACGTTCCATAGTCCGGTGCCACCTCCTCTCCCTTCCCCCACCCTCTGGCTATCTCATCTCCTGCCCGTGAGGTCTTGTGTGTGAATACATTGGTCTTTGTATTTTTAAAATTCTCTTTGGTGACACCAATCAAGTTGCTCACGTTCTGCAGAAATGATTGAATGTGTTCTTGTGAAGATGTTGGACAACTTCCTTGGGAATTTGTTCCTTAATGTATTTGCTTAGATTGTTCCTGACCTTGCTTTCCTGCATGCAGCTTGTTTGGCGAGACAAAAGGGGGTAAGGAGGCGTGTGCGTTGAGGCTACTGGGTACCTGTTCTCTCTGCTGAGCAGGCCCTGTGCAGTACTATGGAAACATCATCACTCAGTAGGATGACCAGATGTCCTATTTTTAAAGGGACAGTCTTGTTTTTGGGGACTTTTTCTTATATAGGCGCCTATTACCCCCCCACCCCATCTCATTTTTTCACAGTTGCTGTTTGGTCACCCTATCACTCAGTGAATAGAGCTGAATATGAGTGGTGACTCTTTGTCTAAACATTGTACTCAAGTTGGTTGATAGAGGTTTTGACAGGCAAGCTGCAAAACTGAGGTCAGGTGGAGATGCATAAATATTGCTGTTTGTCTTTGCGGTAAGATCTTTTCTCAGATGGGTCAGGGAAGAGGGGAGCTAGTAACTAAAGTCTAGTCTCTTTCCTGTGGTACAACAGAAGGCCAGAAGTCTTAAACAAGGCTGGTTTTGTGGTCTCCTTAGAGGTTCCTTGATTAGAGTTTGTGGTCTCTTTAGATGGTTCCTATTTGACCACAATGCTCTGTGGCATGACCCAGTGCTGTTTTAACCAGACCTCTGTTCAGGAAATAGCCAGTGCTGGCATGGACCATCAGTCTGGTGCAGGGTCCCTTTGGCATCGATGCATTAGTGAAATTGTAATGACTCACCTCTTCATATTTGAGAGACCCTTCCATTAGCATGCCATTGGGACCTTTGGATGGTGAAGAATATATTATTGGGAAGAGTCCTATATTGGTAGGGAGGGTGGAGAGAGGAAGGACGAGATGAACTAATAGGTGCATCCACTCTCATTTCAATGGGTTGTATTCTGTTCCGTCTGTCACTGATTCTGTAATACATGCTGCCAATAGTAAGGGAGTAATCAAACTTCTGACCAGTATGGCTGGACAGCAGATGACTTGTGTGGGTGGGCGGGCGCCTGTTGGATGAGGTGATCTGATTACACACCAGCGTTTTGGTGCAGGGCCCAGTGATCCAGTGCTTCATCTCTTGCCCATCATTTTGTGTAAACAATGATTTACTTACCCTTATGTAATCAGTTGCTTGCGCTGTTTCTGGTTGGGTGCATTTCCTTCTGTGGCATTTAGTAATACCTCTGTGGGGAGTGAATTGCTGAATGAGGTCCTCGGCTTATGCCTTTTCACTGTATGCCATGGAGGTAATGCTCTTTGTTGAGAGTACCCACCCAGGTTCTGATTTCCCTTGCACTTGTAAAGCTGCAGTTGCCCCATGGCTGCGTGACTTGCACTAGAAAAATGTGGATCTTTGTCCCCCTCTAGTGGCTGGCTCACATGAGTGGATAAGAGTCTACTACAGCTAGTAGCTGGTGGAGTTACTACTTTAACTCAAGGAATAGAACAGGGGCGGGCAAACTTTTTGGCCTGAGGGCCACATCGGGTTTTGGAAACTGTATGGAGGGCTGGTTAGGGGAGGCTGTGCATACTGTGGAAAATATAGAAGATGTTCTTATACATACAAACCATGAAAAAATGGGTGTTTACCACTACAAAAGGTTTTCTCTCCCCAGCCCACTCTCCGAAGAGTGGTAATAGCTTATCTAAAGTGATCACTCTCCTTACTTAGGGGCCAGTGAGCCAGAGAGAACCATAAGGACAGCCTGTGTCCAGTCATCATTACACCTGAGCCTTGTCTCTTCTCTACCAGGAAGAGTGCTTCATTAGCTAGGACCGCAAATGCCTCAGCACTTGTCCCCCGCCCCCATCAGTTTTCCTGGCTGAAGTGGCTGGCCGTAGCTTTTAGCTTTACTACTTCAGCTGATCGCAATTAATATGCAGCTCATGGAATTCAGGTCCTGGTCAAATCACAGGCATTCTTGCCAGCCAAAGGGAGATAGCCTTGTGGGTGACTTACCGTGCAACCTTCAATGCCTAACCATGTAAGAGGATCTCCGGTCACACTGCTGCCACAGTCAGAATCTGCATTGTGTACAACTGTGAGACGTTTTCCTCCAGAGTTCCGTGGCAACAGCTGATCAAAGTGACTCAAAAACAGGTTATTTAAAGGCAAGCGTTATTTATTCACCCAGAGGTACATAGCAAGCAGGGGAAAGAGATTGACTAACAAAAGGCCTGTCCATCTGGATCTTACCAAAACTTTATTCTTTCTTTGCAAGTGTTGGGTAAATTCCACTCAGCCCAGACACCCGACTTGTGGCCTTGGAGATATAGACTGCCCCAGCCATGTTCTCCCAGTGTGTCTCTGTCAGAGACTCATCTCCAGCTATTGCTGCCCACTGCTCCCTACCCCCCAACTCCTCTGTAGGCCAGCGTCTTTAATAGTATAGTGCCCCTTTGACCCTAAGCTTGGGCCTGGGGAGAATTTAACCTGCTAACCTGTTTGGAGCCAGGCAGGTGGGCATTTCCCAATTAATGGATCCCCCATCGTTCCCTTAAAGACCTTGGATATCTCTCTCACTGTACAATATGTCATTGTTTCGTTATCTGCTTGTTTTCCCCCAGTGGCCTTCTTTGATTTAACTCCATGCAGTCAGGCAGGATCATATCCAGCAGGTAAACTGCAGGGCATAGGATATTCGTAAAACAACAACACAGAGAGCTCCCTCCTGTTCTGCACTGGGCTTCCAATGTTTCCCTTGTCTTCTCAGTCATGACATTTTGCGGTGGCGTTAATCTTCGTGATTCATCCCTTTGCAGGCCCTCGTGGCCCCGAGCAGTCGCTGAGTAATGCTATGAGTGGTGGTTGTTTTCTTGTTAGCAGGGTACGTGTTTTCTGTCAAACATGCCTCTCCCTGGAACCGTCTCCTCTGTTCGGAGCACATCTTTGGCTCTTGACGAAGGATAGGTCGTGAGGAGGACCGCTGCCCTGCTGCATTGCTGACTAGCTTTTCCTTTCTTTTCCAGGTGTGTGTGGCTGCTGTGGTGCGTTGCGTCCCCGTTACAAGAGGCTAGTTGACAATATCTTTCCGGAGGATCCAGAGGTAAATGAGCTTCCTGTTTAATTTAAGCACAATAATTTAACAGCCCCCAGCTTGCTGGAAACAGTCCCAGAATTTTCACATTTCTCCTGTGTGCGGGATTGCAGGGAACTCACTGTCATTCAGGGGTGTTCATCTGCACGCCAGGGGAATGCTGTTGCAGAAAAGGTGATCTCTTAAGGCTCCTCCGGGCCGTACATGGAGGATTTAATTTTCTGTAATTTGCCCTTAATTTTAGTTAGAAGCATTGTGTGTTGGTACCAAAAGCCAAAGCCCTTACCACCTGAGCTATAATGGCCTCTCTGGGTTTGTCTAGACTAGGGTTTAACTAGATTTGTCGTCAGCTCGAGGTGATAACCATAGCTCTAAATGCTAGTCTAAACACTCCCCAAATATTTGTTTCAAGACACAAGTGTGTGTGGGTTACCCTGGGCTGAGTCCTGCCACAAACATTAGAGGACTGTTTAGCCTAGTGTTTATGATTACGTTCATTAACTTGAGTTAATTGCAATCAGGTCCATGTCCGTAGCACCGTTTGGCCCCGAATTTGGAAGTACTCGATGCTAGTGACTTGTCTCAAACTCACTCAGTGGCAGAGCCGTGAATAGGAGGAACCTAAGACTCCTGGCTCCCAGGACTGTCCTGAACAGTAGACAACAGAGCCTGGAATACACATCACTGCCAAGTTTAAAAAGCATCTCACATTGGTTGCTTATTTCCCACATTATGTCACAAGTCTTTGTTTGACATCTGTTCCACTTTGTCTGTAACTGTGACACTCTGAGTGTGTTTCCCAGTCTTGGAGAAGAGCCCGGTGTAAGCTCAAAGGCTTGTCTGTCTCATCCACAAAAGTTGGTCCAATAAAAGATATTACCTCCCCGACTGTGTTTCTTTGACATCTATGTGATTCAGTGGCTGATGTCACAAATGGATGGGTGAGGACATAAACAGGGAAGCAGGAGTGGCAGAAGTGCCTCCAGATTCAAGACTCTTGTTTTCATGCTGCAGTCCTTGGCAGTACAGAATAAGGGAGGAGGAATGTTGAAAACATCTCACATGGGAACAGAATGATTTCTAAAGAAAACTGTTTTTCAAAGCTTTCCATGACACACAAGCAGCTTTCTGGGATAATTACCTGCCCACTCAGTGAAAGCGTCAATCCCCCAGCTCTCTTTGAAGATGCTGTCATTGTCCCGCTAAGAGATATTTTTTTTATCTCAACAACTTCGTGCCCTGATACAATGAAGAACTAACTGGAACAGATCCTTTCATACGTTACAGTATAATTTTGTCTGGAGGAACAGAAGAAATTTTCTTTTCCCTGAAGAGGTGTTCTGCGGTTGTGTATAAAATAGATGTATAATAAATGCCATGGATGGATGGGAGAACAAGAGGCAAGCTAGCAGCATCCCCGTGTAACTAATTGTGACCACATGCATGCAAATACCACCAGACACGAGTAGGAATTGATGTCTGGGATGCGTGGCTGGTGGTCTCCTAATAGGATGGCAACAGCATCTTCAGAGAGAGCTGGGAGATTGACACGCATGCTGAAAAGGCAGGTAATTATCCCAGGCTGCTTGTGTAACCCCAGCAGATGTAAACTACACCAGGTACAGGGCAGAATCCGGCCTAGTACCTTCCACCTTAGTGGCTGAAGATCACTTTGGTCCTAAAGATCATCTTAGGAAGATAGTGAGGTGGTGAGACCTTGCATTTCTACAGCACCTCCCATCTGAGGAGCTCCAAGTTCCCAACATATGGCACCTGGATAGGTGGCCTGACCTCTGCACCATCCCTGCAAAAAAGTGTGTGGCTTGCCGCAGCTGGAGATAAAGCTTGGGGGCAAATGGGGCAAATAGAGTGAAGTGACTTGAAGGCTGATTCAAGCTGGTGGGTTGTCCGCCCCGGAGGCGGAGGTCTCTGTTTAGTCCCAGCCAGGTCCCACAGACACCAGTTCCTCACCAGTGTGCTTCAGGCATGACCCTGAGGGCTGGCTTTGCTGCTAGTTAGTCCTTTGACTCTGGACTGAGGCTGCCAGCTTGTGCCAGCTGTGAAGTGCGTGGTGGCTCCTCCACTCATTTCACACAGGCCGCTGGGCAGCAGATCCCTCAATGCTAATGGATACTGACAGCTGACCGGGGGGGTTTTGGGCACCTTCCTCTGAAATATCAAGAATCTGGCCAGCGTCCGAGATATGAGATGCTAACTGACTAATTAGGCTATTGGTCTGACCCAGGATGACAATTGGTGTGACTTCCAGTGCTGTTGATTTCAACCTGGAGGCCGAAAGCTCCATAGCCCCTTCCCCTGTGCCGTTCCTTGGGAATTGCCTTGTAAAAGGCAAAGGAGATCAAACCCCGTGTCGGTCTATTTTCCAGGATGGGCTGGTAAAAACCAACATGGAGAAGCTGACCTTCTATGCGCTGTCTGCGCCAGAGAAGCTAGACCGCATTGGCGCGTACCTTTCGGAGAGGCTGATCCGAGATGTGGGCCGGCACCGATATGGGTAAGAGGCAGCGTGACACTGACTCACAGCAAGAACTACGGCGTGTGCAGAAAGAGTGGGTGCCCAAAACATACGGGACAAGGTCCAGGCAAAGACTGAATGAAGCTAATGGGATGAATTGGCGCACCAAGCACTAAAATATCCATATGTCCTGGGGGACACCCAAACTACTGTGTTCTCTGTTGCCTGGCCAGCTACACACACATCAGGTTACATCTAGATGATGGTATCTTGTCACCTATGAATGTACACGTGGTGTGAGACCAGGAATTGAATTACTGTGCCGTTCTCCTCTGCACCTACCTATGCCTGGAGCTACACCAAGCTCAGAGTACCCATTCATCCATGCATATGGAGTTCCAAAGCACCTCTCCCTGTAGTAGCTAGAAGCTGTTAAGAGGCTTGCAACAGCTACTGCTTACCCAAAGTCATCCATAGCACTGAGGGGCAGGACTGCAAAACATAGCTGATTCCTGCCCACCATTGCTAGAGCGCTGTGCTTGGGCAGGCTCGAGGATTTTGTGGGTTGGTGGGTGACGATGCTGGGTTACACCACAGGCTCTTAACTGATTCGTTTTACGTACCAAGTGTCTGAGATCTTTAGAACTTTCCCCACCCCATTTCTTGCTGAGGAGTGGAGCCAGGCTGGCTTGTTGCTGTTAGCCCTGGTCACCTGTTTCTATCTGTTACTTTTTCAAGACTCTGCTCAGGGGAAAAGGGCTACAAGTATCTTTTAATGAAAACTGAGTCTCCTCACTTCTGGTTTATTCTGAATCTTGGGCACCTGTGGCCTTCATAGGGTCCAAGGTCAGAAGAGACCATTGTGATTATCTAATCTGCCCTCCAGCGTACCGCAGGCCTGAGAACCGCCCTGAATTAATCCCTGTCTGAATTATGTTTTAGGAAAACATACAGTCCTGATTTTAAAAAATGCCAGTGATGGAGAATCCCCCCAGTTGTTGCAATGATTAATTACCCTCACTGTTAAAAATGTGCACCTTGTTTCTAGTCTGAAGCTTCAACTTCCAGCCAGTAGATCTTGTTATGCCTCTTAAAGAACCCTCTGTTATCAAATTTCTGTTCCCTATGTATGTACTTATAGACTTAACCGTCTCTTTGTTCAGCTAAATAGATAGACTCAAGGAGTTCAGTCCCTATAAGGCATTTTCTAATTCTTTAATCGTTCATGGGGCGCAAAGTCCGACTGTCTGTGTCGAGCCTGTTCCTTTGCCCATGCACCCCTGTGCAGATGGGGTTCCATCCGACCGTACCCCTGGATCCTGTGGCACATTCCTCATGAATCCCGCCAAACCACGCTGCCCCTTTGCCTGGGCACTATATGTGTAAATGTCATCAAAATCTCTGCTTCATAAAGCCATAGGGATGGCTTCTCCTCCTCCTGGCCCATTAGGTAACCATCCACCACTTTGCAAAGTGAGTGTATACAGCAGCCACCCGTGTCGGGAGGAGCGCAGGTCGTATTTTATGCACACTTTGCATTGGTAGCAATGAGGAAGTAGGATACATGGAAGAGGAGGAGACTTAAGCCCACAATTTGATTTTCACAGAACCATTGCATTAGCAGGAGGGTTGTAAGTAAGATGCCGTTCTGGGCGCCACGTTTCAGGAAAGATGTGGACAAATTGGAGAGAATCCAGATGAGAGCAACAAAAATGATAAAAGGTGCAGGAAAGCTGTGAGGGAAGATTTAAAAAATGGGGTTTGTTTCGACTGGAGAAGAGAAGACTGAGAGGGGATGTGAGGAGTCTTCAAGTGCATAAAAGTTTGTTCTAAAGAGAAGTGTGATAAATGGTTCTCCTTACCCTCTGAGGACAGGACAAGAAGCAATGGGCTTAAACTGCAGCAGGGGAGGTTTAGGTTGAACATTAGGAAAAATTTCCTGTCAGGGTGGTTAAGCACTGGAATAAATTGCCCAGGGAGGTTGTGGAATCTCAGTCATTGGAGGTTTATAAGAACACGTTAGGGAATGGTCGAGAGCAGGGGTCGGCAACCTTTCAGAAGTGGTGTGCCGAGTCTTCATTTATTCACTTTTAATTTAAGATTTCACGAACCAGTCATACATTTTAACATCTTTTAGCAGGTCTTTCTCTCTAAGTCTATATATTATATAACTAAGCTATTGTCAGGTGTAAAGTAAACAAGGTTTTCAAAATGTTTAAGAAGCTTCATTTAAAATTAAATTAAAATGCTGATCTTATGCTGCCGGCCCGCTCAGCCCGCTGCCAGCCTGGGGTTCTGTTCACCTAGGCCGGCAGCAGGCTGAGTGAGGCCTGCGGCCAGGACCCCGGCTGGCAAGGGGCCGGCAGTCAGAACCCCAGACCGGCAGTGGGCTGAGAGGGGCCGGCGGCCGGGACCCAGACTGGCAGTGGGTTGAGCGGCTGAGCCTGCTGCCACTCAGTCCACTGCCGGTCTGGGGTTCCGTCCGCTGGCTCCTGCCAGCCAGAGTCCTGGCTGCTGGCCCCCTTCAGCCCGCTGCCAGTCTGGGGTCCTGGCCCTGCCCACATGGAGTGGGTACCTACCTTCTCCCTGGCTCTAGCCCATTCTCTTCCTCTCTCTCTGCACTGAGCTGGGGGTGGGAGCGCACTGAGCACAGGGCTGGGGGTGAAGGAACAGGCTGGCGGTTGGGGTGTAAAGTCTGGCCAGGAGCTAGAATGAGGGAGGGGGCTTAGGGTTGTGGCAGGAGGTTGGGGTGTGGAGTGCTTACCTGGGCAGCTCCCATTTGGTGTGAGGGTGCAGGTGGGAATGTGGAGGGTGGGTGCAGGAGCTCCCATTTGGTGCTCAGGGTGGGGGTGGGAATGTAGGGGGTGCAAAAGTCAGGGCACAGGGTGTCGGGGGCTGGGTATGTGTGGGGGTGCAGGAGTCAGGGCAGGGGGCTGAGGGTGTGTGAGGAGGGTGCAGGAGTCAGGGCTGAGGTCGTGGGGGATGCAGGGATCAGGGCAGAGGTCTGGGGGTGTGTGAGGGGGGTGCAGGAGTCAGGGCATGGGGTGTTGGGGTGTGTGAGGAGGGTGCAGGGGTCAGGGCAGAGGGCTGAAGGGGTGTGTGAGGGCGTGCAGGGGTCAAGCTGAGGGGGTGTGTGAGGGCGTGCAGGGGTCAGGGCTGAGGGTATGTGAGGAGGGTGCAGGAGTCAGGGCTGGGGTTGTGGGGGATTCAGGGATCAGGGCAGAGGGTATGTGAGGGGGGTGCAGGAGTCAGGGCATGGGGTGTGTGAGGAGGGTGCAGGGGTCAGGGCAGAGGGCTGAGGGCGGTTCAGGGATCAGGGCAGAGGGCTTGGGGTGTGGGCTGGGGTCGTGGGGGTGAGCCCAGCCCCTTGCCCTGAGCAGCTCACGGCAGGGGGCTGGAGGGGATATTCCCTGATTCCACCCCCTTCCCCACGGCCCTGTCCCCACCTCTTCGCCGCCTCCTCCCTGGAGCAGCGAGTGCGCTGTGGGTCCCCTTCTCCCCCTCTCTAGCAAGGGCCATCAGCTGATGAGTGGCAGGGAGGGAGAGGAGGGGGGGAGGAACCCAGCACGCTGGGGCAAGAGGCAGGGGAGGGGGGAGCTTGGCTGCCCTGCAGCAGTAGCCGGCAGGACCAAGCTTCTTCACCCTGCCCCCGCGGGGGGTGTGTGTGTGGAGAAGAGCGGGCCGGGGCGGGCAGGATTTTTAATGGCACGTTGCTGCCAGGGCAGCTGGGACCCCGGCAGGCAGCAGCATGCCATTAAAAATCGGCTTGCGTGCCATCGGTTGCCGACTCCTGGTCTAGATAATACATGGTCCTGCCTCAGTGCAGGGGACTGGACTAGATGGCGTACTGAGGTCCTTTCCAGTCCTACATTTCTGTGGTTCTAGGATTGTAAGATTCCACCCCTAGGTACCAATTATTACCTTGCTCTAAGGCTCAGATTAACATCTCTTTCTGGGGCAAATTAGAATGGGACCTATTGAAGGAAGAGAAACTATTTCATTTGTTCCCTTGACGTTGCAATTTTTTGGCTCAGCCAGTTGACTGGATTCTATATTCTTTCTCCATTTTTCTCCATCTGTCTTTTATGCAGTGCCATGTCTGGGACTTGCATTGTTTACAAACCTATTCCGTTGGTAGCAGAGCAGTTGCTAAGACTAGACAGCTGCTCTGATTAGAGATGCCAAGTGCTGGAAGAGTGCAGAAGGGATCACTCTTTGAAATAAGGGAGAGATTCATTCTCTTTGCCTCAGGAACAAACCCAAGACTGACAAATGTATCTTAACGCCACAGTGCAGTGGGAAGTTCAGTTTGGCTTTCGTCCTCTGGGAAGAGGGGGCAGAGAGGTGCTCCTAAGAAGTGAAAAAGTTGAAAAACCCTCAGTCTGCTATGAATCAGACATCATGACTGACAAGACACCCCAAAGCTTTGCCTGCTGTTATATACATAAGTGGCTGCTAACGGGGCTCTGCATGCTACCCAGAAGAACGACATGAAGAGAGTCTGACATCTGATGCGAGACTTTCTGGGCACTGTTTTTCCTTCCCCCTCTCCCCCCACACCCTCCCAGTGGTACAGGCATGGAATTGACTTAGTGCATCAGTTCATTCCCTGCAGAAGGGCAGATCTCAAGTCTTTCTCTAATCCCTGAAGTCAAGCTCAGGTCATCACCAGTTGGAATTGACGTGTTTCTTCAGACCAGCATCGTGCTGTGACCTAAACTCAAAAGCAATGAATTGTCGGTCCAGAATAAACAGCCACGGGACAGCTGCAGAATTTAATTTGTGTTTGCTGATCTCCCGCCTTGTAAAATGAAGTTATAGTCCTTTTAAAAAAAAAAAAGAAAAAAAAATTACAGAATCCTTCTGCAATGGTTGTTCATGCTAGTAGCCCCACGGGGTGACCTCTGTGATCTGATTTGCTTGCACTTATATTTTCCTTAATAATTCTCTAGAAATTGCTTGTTTTTTGAACTCTCCTGCAATTGAACCCAGCAGTTACTGGCAGGCAGCAGGTGTCAATCACACCCCAGGACTTCCCA